AAATGTGCTCTTTTCAAAAAGGCCGAGTTAATACTGATGGAGAGCGTGAGTAGACTTGTTTTCAGGACATTTGTGTATACAAAGCTGGCAGAGCAGTTGTGGGAAGAGCAACAGCTTTTGTCTCATAAGTGAGCAACTTATTGTTAAGCAAAATTATTGTTTTATTCATTGCATTATGAGGTTGCTATCACTGCAGTATTTTTTCTTCCTGACCAAACAATGGAAAGAAAGATGGATGGCCACAGCAGAGCCAAGCGTAAACTGGGTGTCAGTATATTTTAATTTCAACAACCTAAGGAATTTGTCTAGGCTCACTGAAAGTACAAGTTGCTTAATACATGATCAGTGCATATCCTGTGGCCTAAATTTTCACGTAATAGCAAGATCCTCTGTGTTGTGAAAACCAAGAATTTGTGCACAGTTATTTCTAGTATCTCTGATTTCTTGGGATCCTTTTATCCACTTTACCAGACAAATTTCTAACTGTATTTTAAGGTTTCTTATCTTGATGCATAGGGCCAACTTATTTACATTGTTAGAAGTAAGAAATAGGTTAAAGAGACACATAAAGGTACTCTAAAAATGGAAGAGAAAAAGAGGTCTGAAGTACTTTCCAATGCATTTGAGTTTTTCTGGTTATTTAAATGATGTATATACAAAATCAGTAAAATCAGTTTTGCCTCCAAAAAAGAAACGTGCTGTTGGCTAGTTCTGAATTATATAACTAAAACTAGAACTCTACTGAATAACGGTTTTGTTTTGCTGGCTTTGGTGTATTAAAATGTGGGATGAAACAAACAGTAGTAATGTAACATCTGCTTGAACTTTGGCAGTCCTAGTTAGGATATCAAGCAGGATATCTGTGCTTCTCTTTCATCAAGATCATTATTGATCATTAATGCCAAGATGAAAAATAAGAGGTAGTAGCTCACATAAGAACACATTTGGATGGCAGCTGTTCTACATTAGGTGTAGTTAATGGTCATGTTAGCAACCACAAATGTAATATTTACATCCACTGAAATAACAGAATTGATTAAGTGGGATAAGAGCGGAGTGATACCAGCTGCTCTGGAGCATTGTTCTTTGTAAATTTGACTGATGTTGCTTGGGCATGTCTTGGATCAGCTAAATATTAGTAAGAAGCTGAAAAAAGAAATCACATCTAGGCAAGCAGTTCATTACCTGAGGAAAAAAAAAAAGGAAGAAAGAACATCGGTGAATTTGCATCACTGTGTAAGCTCACCAGAGATTGACAAAGTAGGAAAGTCATAGGTTATGACTAACATTAATAACACTTACATCGCTAAAGTAGTTGGCAGATATCAGCTGGAGATTCATTTAGAAACATGGCTTGTAGCTACTGAGAGTGGTATTCAGCATCAGATACTTTGTATTAGAAATTTTCCCTGTCAAGTAAATGAAATTAGTTTTGCTTGCAGGAAAACATAAAGTGACAGAACAAAAGAAACGGGATGCAATCTGGGGTCCCAGAGATATGAAGAACTTCTATTAAAAAGAATCTATAACATCTATCTACAAGTGTAAAATGTTTTTCTTGTTTTACTTTTTCACAGTAGTGAATGTTATGGATTTTCCTCTCTTATTCTTAGTAGTAGTAAAAAAGAACCCCAAACAACCAAAGAAACCCACACCAACAAAAAAACAACTAAAAAAAAAAAATCCCTAAAAAGTTGTCCACCCACATATTATCATATTAACAAAATATCCCCAGTATTGTTACCTGACGGGCAGCTGTCAATGTCTTCTTTCCTTTTCTATTATTCTGGTCAATAGCTTATTTTCTACTATTTTTTCTATTCCTGTCTATATGACAAAGGATCAGTTTTTCCCTGGTCAGTGTTTTTTGTGGGTTCCTTTTATTCCAGAACTTGACATTAGAACTTCATAGGTAAAAAGAACATTGTTTGTCTATGCTCTATCAGAAATCTTTGCTATTGCAGACACCACTTTGAATTGTTGGGTTCCATCCACATTATGGAAATGTGATTGTTTTCATCTTTTCATACTCCAGCAATGTTCTGTAGTTGTCTGTGGCACTACAGAGTCAAAATATTATATGCTGAGAACTTCATGGTGAAGGATAAAATACCTGAGAAAACTGAAGACCTCTTTTTTACACTACAGATGTCAAAGCAAAAAGGCATACCATGTTTTCCCTGATTTAATTAAAAAAAAACAAACCGAAAAACAAAAAGGCAACTGGCCAAGTTATTTCCTCAAATTTCTGATAAAGTGTGTTTGAACATTAAAAATATAAAAGTAGAATTCATTATAGAATAGTGAAAACAACTTCTAATACCTTATTAAGTACTTTGGCTGTGCACTCTAGTAACAAATTTCAGATACATATGGAATGTATCACTGCCTGAAATCAATGCCTTTGCAGTAGAGCTTAAGACCATGTGTACTGATCTCGTTGTGAGAGACTTTATTTCAGTGGGTTTGGCAGTTGATACACAACATTTTTGCAAATGCAAATCTGGGAAATATAAATGCCAAGGATACAACAAGCAAGTATCTCCAGAGTGTGGCAAGGCCCTATTTCTGAAGTCTGCACTGTACATATTTATACAGGACATTACAGAAATATATACAATTTTAAAAGTTATTATCTGATTCTGTGATGTATTTTTTAATAAGACAGAACAAACTATTTCATGTTGCCATAATTACCATTGACCTTAATTATTTGCCTATTAAGATGGTTCTCATTTAACTAAAGATGAACTCTCTCCAAATAAAATAGTGAAAATATTCTGTATTACTTAACTCTATAGCAATAATTTGCTAAGAAAGATAAATGACTCTGGATGGTTTCAAGAGGATATCAGCCAGAACTGCTTTTAAATACCTACTTTGGTGGTTGAGAACTTTAGAAGAACAGAATTGGAACCTTTTATTCTCTGTCCTTTCTGTCCTTCCAAGCTCAAGGGAACACTGATGGCCTCTGGCTCTGTTCAGTCAGGAGCATCTAACCTCTACCATCCAATTAAGTCCTTGTAATCTTTCTAGCCATTAAACTAGCTTTCATTCTACTTTGTGGCACTGAAAAATAGCTGTTAAGAAAGCTGCCAGTTTGACAACTGGCTGTTGGAGCTGAGCAGTGTCATTGAAAGGTGGGCTTTCTCTGTAGAGCTGGACTTAGAGCTTCAAGTTTCAAATGCCACTACAATGAAATCAGAACAAATTTCCAATTTGGTTGAATCCCTGATAAAGTTTGAGTCAGCTGACAATTAGTGCTACATTTCACTTTACAGGTTTAATTCTTCATTATGCCTTGTTAAAACTGTGGCTCCTGACAGATATTGATCAGGCACTGGAAATAAAGGGACCGATAGAGATAACAGTAAGCCAGTGGGTACCAACTGATGGGGTGAATTTTACTGATCATGTACAAGCATATTTCAGTTGCAGCATGAGGCTGTCCTGGGCTCAGTGGTTTTGCTTATGCCCTCTTATTCATTGTTCTTTCTGCTTTCCATATGTTGATGCAGCAGATTAGACAGCATTATGTAGCCTTCACATATGCTAGTGCCATGCTGCTTGGCGAAGCTACATCCCTAAGACTTTCCTATCAGTGTTGATCTGCTGACTGATAAAGGGAGTTGAAAGGAAAAAGAATGACATGCCAGTAACCAAAGCAGGATCTATGTGTCCCAGTCACCTGCCTATTTTCTGCTTTCCAAGTCCCTTGAGTTATGTAATCTCAATGGGAATAACAGACAGGGAAGCACTATACAGATCACGGAGTGAAGGAGAGCAAGAAGAGAACACAGACAAAAAAAGAAGAAAAAGCTGTGAGTCTCTGCTGCTATAAATTGTTCCACCATACCATGGGCACACCCTGATGTAGTTATGAACTCTTCTGGACCCGTTTCATGGGTATGCTGGACAGCATAACCCTCCTGGATCCACTGCTTGGCAGCTAGGAAAGCAGAGGTGCTATGCAAATATTCCTAAACTTTACAGTAGTCAGAGATTTTCTTGACTCAGTAAAATTCATCAGTGGGTAGTTCTCTAGACAGCATCTCCTTTTTATAATAGAAAGTAAATGTAGAAGATTATGAAGTTTTAATCCTGAAGTTTTTGTGGCACTGGAGTTTGAGATTGTTAGGAACTGAATACTGACTGAGAAGTGACTTCAAATGATTCAGGAATTGCTGAAATTTTAATATTTTTAAATAGAATTGAGTTCTTTTATTGTTTCCAAATTCCTCTTAATGGTGAGGTTTCACTGTTTTAATTTTAATCTACCTGAGCAGCCTTTTCAATTAATTTTGTACTTCAGTGATGAAATGAATGCATAAGACTATGTACTCTACTATGGCAGTCATCTTAGGGAAGGTAGGCTTGTGAGTGGTTTCTGTGTAGGAATACTATCCTGTCTTATCTGAAGTGCAGGTATGAAAATAAAATTGGGTTTTACTGTAAAACATTCATTATGAGTGTATGTTAAAAAAAAAAAGAAAAAAGTTGCAATTGTTGATCCTTCATTTTCAGCTACCTAGAAATTTGGAAAGCATCAATGTTTTTAATGCTTGGCTATACATAATTAGTGTAACCATTGAATCAGCTTTTGGCTTGAATGCATTTATAGAGACCATTACTATATTAATTTAAAAAACCGTTAATCATTTTATGAAGAAAGTCAAGCTATTGACCCTCGGGGGGAGGGGGGGAATGCAGGTTTTATTTGAGTTCCAGTGTGAATATTTGTGCACAGAGTCTTGAAAAAGTAAATGGAAACAAAGTCGTAAGCTAGTCATTAGAACTGAAAGCATCAAGCAGCACTAGAATTACATTTTTTAACTTGCTTTCACATTTGAAGGTCAGCATGGCATTCTGTAGAGGATACAATGGGTAGACCTGTCAAAATTAACTCCTTTTAAACAGCAAAATACATCAATTGAAATTTCCTTCTAACACCCTATTGACTTCCTTTATTTATTTTTTTTTTTTTTAATTTTTTTTCACAGAGGATCTTTCTCAAAGCTGGAAGTGAGGAAGAAATCTTTGCGCATCTTGGTTTGGATTATGTTGAGCCGTGGGAAAGGAATGCTTAAAATGATTTGCCAGTGTATATTAACCAGTTGACAGCAATGGTCTTTCTACATACCCAGAGTCTGGTTTAGAGATATATATATATATAATATGCATCTCTGTGACAATTAAAAATTTTTAGAGATATATATTAGTTAGAAGCCATTATACATGCTGATGAAAAGGAAGGAAAGAAGAGTTTAAGTTCTTCAGATTCCTTTCTAGTCTTTTCTGCTTTAGTTTTTCAGAACTTCCACATGGGATTGAGATAATGCTTGCTTTTGGGGGCTTTTTGCTTGTGATAGGAATTTAACTTTCCTGTGAAGAATACTTGCAAAGCATTTAGTGCTTTGGGACATGAAGTTGCTTACTGACATTCATTTGTCATTCGTAGAATAAAGGTGATTATGAACACCAAACTGGTCAAATACTTTTATTAAAAGCCTGTTCGTTTTTTTTTTCTGTTAAGTCTGATTTGACATCTTGGCATGATGGAGAGAATGGCAGTGACAGGGCCATGCACAAAGAAAAAGTATGCTGAATTTATTTACTGGTTCCTTTCAACTGAGGACTGCATTGTAATCTATTCTAAAGCCTCAGTCAGGGATGTAGAAAAATATGATAACAGCAGGGAATTTTATTCTTGCCTGTGCCGATAAAACCATCCTTTTTAAGTGCACTTTTGCTAACTGAGCTGAAAATATAATGCTACTTTCTAAATTGATCTAACTAGAATACACTAGCATTACTTCTTGCTTTATTGTGCTGATGTATGAAGTACCTTCTCTGTGTTTTGTATCAGGATGCTGACACTTAAGGAGCAATGACATTTTTCAGTCCTAGTGGAAGAGAACAAAAGCTATGGTACCTCATCTAAATATTCCTTCTACTTGGCCAACATTTATCAGAAATTATACATTCCAATTGTGCTTTTTCTGCATACTTCAAGCCAGAGGAAATATGAAACATTCTGATTTCCACATGAAGAAATAACTCCCATCTTGCCTGCCTATGCATCACTTATACCACCTGTGGGGGAGAAGATACTAAACACAAATTCTGTCAGCTCCATCAAGAGTGGAAGAAAACAGTGTGTCGCTTCATTCCCTCAATTTTTCTGAACTTTTGTTAAAATACATTTTACAAATTACTCACTGGATCAAGTATTATCAAAAATTATGGAACCGTTAAATGAGGGTAGGATTAAACAGAAGGCCACATTAGGTGACCAGGATGGTTTGGCTATGAAGGAGGTAGCTTCTGTTATGAACACCTCCTTTGAAAAGGCTGATATCCCAGTCATTATCATAGTTACTGTATGCAGGATCATACCTGATAGCACTTGCTACTCACTATCATACAGTGGCAGAGTCAGGAAAAACATAAATTCAGTTTTTAGTAAATAAACTGTGAACCATGACACTTCTTGCATCAGTTAAATATAGTCTTACAGTTTTGAACAGTTTTAATCCTGTAATGATTTCAGTTCTTGATGGCGCTAGTCAACTGAGACTATAATTACAAAAGATAGATGTCATATAAGAGAACTGATACGGAACAGGTTAAAGGAAATAAAACCTTTACCAGATGAGCATGTCTGGATCCGCCTGCAGTGTGGTGGAACTGTTACAGTCAATGGTAGAAGATGCTTCTGAACTCATGAAGGACAGGTGAGGCCTGGGGCCTGGAAAAGGGCAAACGCTTGTAAAAAGAGCAGGCCAATGTCTGTAATAGGAAGAAGGGAAGAAAGAATTTCAGATCAGTGCACTTAATATCTACTAAATTGCTAGAATGATTAATAGACTTTATTTTTAAAACACCTAGAGGAAAATAAAGTGGTAAGTTATTGGCAGCTTGTTCATTAGAAACAAATCATATCAAACTAATTCAGTTGTAAAGTCCCTGGAGGCTGATTCTTAAAGCGTCTGTCTCTCCTCCCCTGCCTTCTACACCAAGGCAATTTGGCAAGAACTGAGAGGGATCATTGGTTTTGTAAGCATATGCATACTAACTCTCTAAAAACTTATCAGTTACTGGCAAAAGAAACCCAGGTAAAATTTAAAAACACTGTATTTCTTTCATGGTTTATGGTAATTTGTGATTTGTCAAATACCCCGATAATGTTTTTCAGTGACAAAAATGGTATAACGTACATTTATAGGTATAGGCAACATAATGTAGACCTTAAAAAACCCAAACAAACCCAAATGCACTATTATACAAATGCTTTGCTGCAAATATCTTAAAGCAAAAGCAATGAGCTATTTAGATTTCTGGGTAAGAATGTAGTTAATATCAGTGAATCTTGGTGGCATATTATACTAAGGGAAGAGCTTATTATATGTACACAACTCTACAAAACTGTAAATCCAGGCAACTTGAATACTCATACAGCTGTCAATACAAATTTGAAGCCACACAGACTTTCTGGAAATTACTGGAAACCTGAGAACTGCTGCTACTTTACAGAAATAACCCCAGAACTTAAAAAAAAAAAAAAAAAGAACCCTAAACCCAAAGATTTGCAATGCTTGTAATCCCAAAATGAAATGTGTTTTCTATAGTTTACGGTCAGAATTGCTTGGATTTCTCAGGTAAGAAGATGGTATTACTTAGTGTGGAGTGTATTCTTTCACTTTTTGAGCAGCTGTTTCTTTCTTTGATACAGTTTCCTTCAGCAACTAAAGTTAAAATAATCAACTCCTGAGTGTAAAAGGTTAATGGAAGTCATATAAGCAAATGAACACAGGGATCTCTGAAAACCTTCCATAGCGGTTAAGCTTCTGCTGGCATGGCTGTAAATCTATCCAGGAGACAATGCTTTTGGCTTTGCCTTTTAGACCCCAATAGAGGCCATACCTACGAAGATGTTATGTGTATAGCTATAGGTGAGGCAGGGCTTCAGAGATTTCCACTTGTAAATTTTTCTAATTGGCTGATCTCTCTCTGCATACACATCAAGCCTCCTTTAAAAAACAAACCAAAAACAAACAAACAAACCACACCCCCCAGAAAAAAAGAAAAGAAAAAAATAAAATAATTAATTTTACAAAGATGACCAAGCAATCTTTGCCACTGCTGTGTTGATACATTAAGTGCCTTTTATTTTAATTGGAATGATTCAGATGTAACTTGTTTTACCTGGTGATGCTCTTTAGGAAAATAGATCAGTTCATAGTCAGGTTAGTATTTCCCCTTTAGGGAAATACTAACTTTACAATGAATTTTCTCATGCCTGTTTACAGCTTCTTTTGTCTGATTTGTTGTATTTTACATTTGGTCTGTCAAATTCTAACTCTGCATTTGTTCTATTTATTTTAAATTAAAAATCTGGACCTTTGAATGGGGAAATAGAGTGTTTTCAGGTGTCTTATATCTCTGCCATAACTCTACCGTGAATGTGTGGCCCCACATCTTGCTCAGGTGTCTATGAAATGGATTGCTCTAGGAGTGCCTGCTTTTGATAATTAGATTCCCAAATCTATCTCCACAGATTATTTGTACAAAGGCTTCATTTCACTCTGCCATTTCAGCTCCTCTTTCCTGTATGTGATGTTAGAGTGATTTGTAGCTAGAATATGATTCTGTGGTGGCCAAAGTAAAGCATCCAACATTAAACTCACAAATCTCACAAACAATTAATCAGCTTATACTTGTCCCTCAACTTCCCCCTAGTTTTTGTTTCTTTCAGTTTGCATAGTTATTTCCTTGTTTGAAGGTGTGGAATACAGTGAAAATGTATTTTGTGCCACTTTGGCTTAAGGTGCTCTACTAAAAATAAATGTTCCCTTTTCTGGCATCCCCTCAGACAATGTCAAATCAAAACCAGGAAAGGATTCCCTGCATGAATGCTGTTCAAATCCCTTCAGAACACTTAATTTTAAAATACATGTAATGACTTCAATAAATGTGTGTTACAGGCAACCCATAAAATGTAACACTATTTTTCACCTAATGCCTCCAAACAAATAGTATTCTCAAATACTACAGACAATCTATATGAGTTGCATTGTGGGGGCTACTGAACTACCTATCCCAGAATGACAAGTGCCTTGGTTAATGTTACATCACTTGATAAAGATCAATCATGCAGCTGATGACTGACGAGGGGAGAGAGATCATGTGTTGGGGAAGTACGAAGGCTCCCCATTTGCTGTGTTTTAGCACGTAAACACACTTATTTGGAAAATAAGCTACTTTTTTATTATTAAATTGCTGCAGGTATTTGATTCTAGTTCTTTTGTGACTGCAGCAAAAACTACTGCTAAATGGTACAATGCCTTTTTTGTTTCTTTCTCTCTAAAGTCAACACGTTAATTCAAAGGGATTTTTGGAAATGGTGAAACTTCCCAATTCCTTTGCCATCATTTTTGAAGTTACAAAGGGAAAACACTTATATGAAAGCAACTCAGAAACATTTCTATTAAATAAAGGTAGCCTTTCTAGCAGGAATAGCATTATTTCATGTATTTGTTGCTATATATACACACACTATATCAAAACTGTCATAAATTTTCTGTTAGTGTCTTATTAGATATAATAGAAAATTGAAAGAAAAGTCTCAATTTTTAAACACTAGGTGATTTCTATGCCTGGGAATATGTAGATTATATTCCAGAAATTGGTGATTGCAGCCTTGGGGGAAAAGGAGCACATAATACGAATTTTATCCCAGCACTGAAAAGATAAAATTATAATCTCTGTGTATTTATAATCACTAAAAGAGAAATGATTTGGAATTGTCTTCACAGCTGGGTAGAGAGCACTGATGATTTTATATAGCTTCAAAAATGGAGCTTGACAAGGTTATGTAATTGTGTGGCAATGTAGGAGTGTTTCTACAGTTCAAAACTGTTGCTGATGATACAAGTCTTAACGTTTTCAATTTTTGGAAGCCTAAGGATGGGTTGAGAGACCATATGGTCATACAGCTTCCATAACTGTACTCTGAATCCAACAGTTCAATATGCAGTGGCTAGGAAACTTTGCTTTTGCACTCCTCTGAAATGCAAAATATCATAGATACAACAGTGAGCAGGACAGCAAGGATATACTGCTTCTGGTGATCCTGAAATCCTCGAGTTCTGGTTTAAGTTATATTATATTATATTGTATTGTATTATATTATATTATATTATGAGTTGGTATTCTTTTTTTAAACTAAACTAAGGTATCAGAGATATAATTTGGCCTTTTTGCCTTTTACAGTATGCTTTTAAATGTGTTAAAGTCTGCTAGAAATTATTTTTTGTGTTGGCATTATGTGAGTGGGAAGTGGTTGTTCTGGAAATCCTTCAAGGCTAGTTTCAAGGCTGCACATGTTGCAGGACTCTTGACAAATGATGGATGATATAATTTTACTTATACATGATACCAACACTAAAAAAGAAGATGAATACCACAAATAGCAGTATCTGTTTGGACAAAATGTTGGAATTACAGAAGAAATATGGATATTTCTCTCCCATTCTGTGTTGCCCCTTGTCCCAGTTGGATCTGACTTCATTAGATGAAGATTACATGTATCTGAAAAACTCCACTGTCAACCACAGAACACATAGAATAACATAGAACAAGTGCTCTCCTGCTCCCTGTTGGAAGGGCCTGACAAACCCTTTATTTACATGCTCACTTGAAGGACCCAAGGTTCTCTTTGGCTCCATATGATCAGAAAGTGGGAAATTGAACATCTTTAAGCAAACTCCTGTTAGATGCAAATAAATGGGGCCTAACAAATTATATGTTTTAAAAATGGTGCTACAAGCCACTCTTGTACATGCATGTATACAGGGAAACATTTTTGGAAGTACCGCAGTGAGAAAGAGTAGATGAATGGGCCATTCCACTTTGAATTTTATCGACAGATGGCTGCTAAGACAATCTGCACTAGATGATAAATGACAGTACATTAAAGCTTACAAACCACACATAAACACAAAAAAAATGCCTCCAAGAAACATTTGAACTGAAGTTTAATGACTGTACAAGATTACTAGCACATAAGAATCACAAGTTCTTAAGAAGAAAGGCTGAATAGAGAATAAACATTCTCCTAGTGTGAGGGGACAGGCATAAAGACTTATCAGAGCTGTCAGTGATGAACTTAATATTACAATCATTGCAGTTCCTAAGAAATCAAAAAAGAATCTCAATGAGATGTAGTAAATCCCCCTAGCAGCAAGCACTTCTCATTACAATAACACGGATACAGACTAAATACTGCAAAACCAAACTTTGGTGTATAAGGTAGGACAAATTAGCCACAGATGAATGGGCAAGGATAATAAAAATGTTTAATGATTTGCTATTATGAGTTACAAATTGGAAATGCAGTGGAAAAAATAAAGCAAGTTGAGAGGAAAATCCAGAACAATTTGAATTTGTTTATTTATTTATCAGGACCATCATCACACCCAAGAATAGTGAAGATACTAATTTTATCTGGTAACATATTGTTCAACTTGCAATTATTTCACTTTATTTGTTCCTGTGAAGTCTTCATGAAGTAAGTTTGAAAAGTTTTATTTCTAAGAATGTATCACTCAGAATTAGCTCATAGCTTAGAAAACTGGGAATTCTTACAAAAGTAATTCCATCTTTGAAGTTGAATATTTAGCAACCGCAGAGTAAGTATGTGCAGTTCAAACAAAGGTAATAGCAAAATGTTTGCTCCTTGTTTTTGATTCTTGTATTTTGACAAATCTTACCTTTCTCTGCAACAGAGAGAAAAAAACATGGTTCCCTGACTGTATTATCAAACTAATTGATTTTTACAAAAATGCTATGGCTATTAAAAATATTTTATCAAAACACAAAACTCCATTTATGGAATGCATTGGCATTCATGACTGATAATGCAAATGTGAATTATGTCATGGTACACTCAATATACCATCTGCTCAAGAAAGAAAAACATCTGTTGGTAAATGTAAACTGTGGAACTTATGTGGTATGCAATATGTTCAGATACAATATGGAATAAATAAATTGGATGTTGACAATCTATTGTGTTAGAAGCATTCAATGACTTTCTTATCTTGAAAAGAGGAAGAACTCAACTGCAGTGTTTTCGGGATGATGAAGGAAATGATCATGCCATGTCTAATCTTCTAAAATCTAACCCTTCTGAAAGCTAAGGCTTTTTTTTTATGTCCCAAATTTTGAGTATCCTGTTTTCAGATTTACTTGTTCTATTGATTTGAAGCACTTAGACAAATAATTTATCCCCCCCCCCCACCTGAGCAGGACAGCTGAAGCAGAAGTGAGTCTTGGAACACCACTACACCACTATTTTGCATCCATATGCCATGACAGAAAAGGGAAACATCAACGTACTTCAGAAATTTCTTTGACAATTCTCCATCCATTGCTTGTCAGCTTATGGAAAGCACAAATAGATTTTAACATGCTTAACGAACAGTTAAGGATGCAGAAATGCATATTTGAACATTAAACTGAAAAGGCAGAAAACTTAAACCTTTTTTTTTCCCCCTCCACATTGTGAGAAGGAATTTATCATAATTTGTTGCTAAGCAAGTCAAACTAATGTTTGTGTTAGTGATGGTTTGCAGGTTCTACTTTAAGCAGAACATCTTAAACTACCAATGTTTATTTGCCGGGGAATAAAAGCTGTTCTGTGGTATGCACAGTTCTGGTGTTACAACAGACTGGGAACCCTTACTCAAGAAAGAGATTTGCCCTTCTGTAATTCTCTGCAAGAGCCCTTATGATGCTTTCGTAATCAGTCTCCATATTACTTTTGAACAACTCGTAAGATTTTTACTCCAGTGTTGTTCTTGCATGTCACTGTTTCTTTACTTCATTTTTCCAGCATGATCACATTCATTTTCAGGCCATTGATAGCAATGGAAGAATGCTGCAGACAAATATGTTTAAACTGCTAATACCTGTGGTACCTGCTCTTCATGTACACATTACCTGACAGAGCTTTTTGTCCT